CGGACTCAGGGACAAGCTCACAGCCCACTGCAACAAAATGCCAGGTGCTAGGTGCACCGCTTACCTGATGCAAGCTGGAGGTGAGAAAGCTGACCGGAACGCTCAGCTGACCGTGAGGCGCCCGGCTGCCGGGACCGGGTGGACGCGGACCAGCATGCTCGACCAGCCGGAACCGGGCGGACGCGGACCAGCACGACGGCTGCCGCCACCGACGCGCCCCTCCCGGCCACGTTCCTCTGCCACCTCCTCCATGCCGCGGTCACCAATATGTGCACACACCGTCGCATTCGCGTCGGCTGCTTGGGCTCCTCGGCCACCGACGAGCCAGCCGCGGAGCACAGCCACTCTGGCTCCGCGTCCGCCACAGGGCCTTCGACGCGCGCGACTGCCGAGGGCCTCGCCGACGCGACTGCGAGCAGCCGGCGCACGTGGTCGGCCCTCCTCGAGCCACCCCAAACACGCGCGCGATCGCTTTTTTCCCGATGGCTTCCTCTGTTCGTCGCAGTCCTCTATCCGTGCCCCGATGGCCGCCGCGACCGTACCCTCGCCGGCCGGGCCACGCCCGCCACGCGCGTGCCTACCCAGCCGCGACATCCGTCGCTTCCTGCAGCAGCAGCAGCCGAGCACGCCGAGACTGTCCGACGCCCGAAGCTCGCCGACGTCACCGCGGGTCGTGCGCGCCGACGTAACCGCGGCCACCGCGCGTTGGCACCTGCGGCTAGCGGCTTCGCGCACCCGTGGCCAGCGGCCCCGCGCCCACGGCCGGCTGGCTGGCTGCCCCAGCGGCTGGTGCCCGCGCCCAGGACCTCCCCACGGAGGCGCCAACGGCCGGCGGCTCCCGCTGCAAGCCAAGCGCTCCCGCACCAGCCAGGAGCACGCGGCTGGGCGGGCGCGGCCCCGGCCGGCGAGGGCGCGCACGCGGCGGCCACCGTCAGGTGAGGGCGCGGCCCCGGCCGGCAAGGGCGCGGTCGCGGTCGCGGCGGCCATCGGGGCATGGACAGAGGACCGCGACGAGGCCGTGGCAGCATCTTCGTTATTGAAACGTGTGGCTCACGTGCTTTGTCCGCCACGTTGGCGCTGCCACGTCACCTGGAGGCCACGCGCGGATGGAAAATGGGTCTGCGGTGAACAACTTGACAAGTTTAGGGGGCCCATTTTTTGCGTTTGTATGTTCGTGGATCGAACTGGCATAGGCCGACAAGTTAAAGGACCGCCAGTGTATTTCACTCTTGTTTTTATTAACAAAAAAATTAATGACATCACTAATAAAAATAATAACATCATTAACCATTTATTTCAAAACAAAAATACAAAAAGCTCATTTTATTTTCTGTCTAGAGCTGAAACACAATCAGCGGCGCCATCACGCAACCATTGCTGCTCAGCCTGTGCGGAGATTGGCCAGGGATGAGGCAGGAGTGTCGCTCCGGCAACTGCGGAGCACCCAGCACCGGCGAGTGCCAGAGGTGCTAGAGGATCCCACGGCGAGCACAGCTGTCGAGTTCTTGTCGACGGGTAGAGCTGACGGTAGACGACCATAACGGAAGGCACACGGGCGGTGTTGGAGCTCCGGCAAGGCTTAGGAGACGGCGCCAAGGGCACGGATCGATGCCGGGAAGTGGTGCCGTGCCTCGTCGTGATACTGCGATGCCAACAAAGAAGAAATAGAGGCCAGAGATGGCTGGAGTAGGGAGATCGGGGCAGCAGCAGAAGCATTTGGTAATGGTAGCGACATCAGTGATTGGTGCGTTGGAGCAGCGAAGGGGTTGCGGGATGGCGAGAGGGTGGCGGTGCCCGCGCACGATGCCTCTGGGCAGCTTTTATAGGGCCGCGGAGGTCGGATGGTGGCGTTAATGGCGGCCATTTTCTGCAGGTGGTAAAAAGGGCCGGCTATGGCGGGGTTTGAAGACGGCGTTACTGCAGGCTTTAATTGCGCGCTTGATTGCGATCCGGGAGGGAAAGTGGAGAGGCGAGTTGGGCTTCTACTAGTGGAGGCATGGTGGGCAGGCTCGACCAGGAAGTTGGCCAGTCCAGGAAGGTAGAGAGGGAGGGAGCTCGGGGTGAGAGCAGGCCGGCCTGGAAACGACAAATGGAGTGGGCTGCATGGAAAACCAGAAAAAAGAGAAAATGAAGGAGTTTAGTTAGGTTAGGTGTATTTCGGCCCAAAGCAGATTTTGGAACTTTTGAGAATTTTATAAACTCGTTTTCTCAAGCATTTTAAACATATTTTGAATATATATTTGAAAATTGTTTATATTTTTAAATAGAAAAAACCTATTCAAGGCTTAGACGATTTTATGAAATCTATTTTATCATAATAAAATTAAATGCAAAGGCACAAATGCAAACAATTCAAATTAAATTCTGAATATTTGAGAAAATCATATTTTGTACTATTTAAATATCAACAACCTAATTAAATCTTTAGAAAATGTATAAGATTGTTTATTTTTATTTAGTGTTTTCTACTCACAAAATAGAATTTTTGGGGTGTGACATAGGCATTACGGCCGGCCCCACCCATCAGAACTACGGAGGACAAAGATGGTGGGATGATGTGTGGATTTGTATTGTGTATTGATCATTGGGTTATATTTGTATGTTGGTGGGTGTGATAGGGGAGCTGGACTTTCCCTCTAGAATTGTCAACGTCGGCCTCTATATGTAGCGATGAGATGTAGTGTATATGTTTCATAACAGTCCATTTGAACATTCTAAGACACATTCTTTCCATCATTTTTATTGCTAAGATCAACAAGGTCTGGTCTTACACACATACAGAGATATCAGGCTCTCATCTACGGGATCTCTCTCAGTATAGACGCGGGTAAACTTAACCAAAACTAAGCCTAACGACTGAAACAAAGCACTAGAAGAGATAGCTGGCTTGACCTCTTATTTATAGAGATATTATACATGTCCAAGCCTGCCTTTAGATATTTTGGCTAAACCATTTAACCTTAGGGGCATAATGGTCCAAGTAGAGATTCGTGCATCCGACGGCCACGAGCCCTTTGTGAGAATGCTTTGCCTCGACGCAAGCTTCCCGATGACGCCAAATGCCGCCTCGAACTCCATCCCTGATTTTGAGGCCCAAACCACCAAACCCAGCTGGAGAAGAATATCTGCAACGCCTCCTCTATGATCTCAAGCATGTCACCACTTGTCCTCGACCGCACGATCACCAAGTCTTTCGCACCCTCGCTTGACCCAGTCAACTATGCCATCTCCTCATGTACACTTGCTTTTCGATGCCCCCAAGTATCAGCCACACATGGTCGGTCTTTTGGCCCTCGATCCAAGCCTCGTGTCCGTCCTTCGTCGCTCCCAGTCCATCGGCACGAACCCGCTTGACCTTCTCCATAACCATCGACCATCTCAGTGCTCCACACCTGCGCACCACAAGCCAAGAGACATATTGCACAACATCACGCTCACGCCATGGTTAGTCCAAACACTAAACCAAAACTTGATCATCTCCTGACGATCACTCATCATCACAACACACATGGGCATCTCAACCGTGTGTTCGTAGCTTTTCTTTAAAATGACCAATATATTTTGTTCGGCTTTACAATTCTTCTTCAAGTGGCAGAGAACTTGGTAGTGGGTAGTCTATAATTTAGGCATTCCCCTAGTGTGAAAACATAATTAACAACGTACCGTAAAGAATCACCTACAGCAGTTTGCAGCTCCATGTACAGTGTTCATAGAGAGGAAAAAAGCGCAGCTGCAGCTGCAGCCACAACAGCTGCTTTTAGCTTAAGCGATCGGGCTGAACCATTTGACAAATAGTGGTACTAGTAGTAGCAAAACAAAATATATGGGCAAGTGAACCAGTTTAAATACTCTAGGGTAGTTAAATGAGTTCAAATTTTGTATTGGGTCAGGTGGACAAACCAAACATGCAGTAGGCGTAGTAAAATGGATGTGTTGGCGGGTGTAAATAAATGAAGTGCTACCGAAGACATGATCGATATCAAAGAACAATTGGAGATCCTGAAATTTATATATGTCTAACCACTCGAATATTTCTTTTTTTTTCTGGCAAGGTTAATTTGTGTTCGGCTAACATTACTTTTGCAGAGCTGGAGCGGATACAATCATTTGATCAGGCACACCTGAACGAAGGTGAGAGTGACGGCAGAGAACAGAGACAGAATGGCAGCTATGGTGGACATGGACGACGGCGCGCGGTGACTGCTGAATAGCAGAGTGTGCCTTCGACGGTTGCACTTATACAACACGCGGGGGGTAGTGAGACGAAGAGGTGGAGGAAAGAAAAAAAATGGAGAGAGAGGAAGAAGAGGAGACCAACTCTCCTTCAATCATGTTCTGCATCCACCACTGCTGACACACTTACACTATGGGTTAGTGAACTTCACACGAGTGGTCTAACACTACTAGAAACTTGAATTGTTCTGTGGGTGACCAATTTTTCTGTACGTTTTTTTTTGCATGCACAGAAAAATTACGAATTTTCTGTCGTTTCAAAATATCCCGACAGAGTAATTATATGATTTTTCTGTGCATGGGAGTAAACACACGGAAAAAATAAACACTCACAGAAAAATTAAAATTATTGTGTCGGTTCTTTAAATCATCATAGAAAAAATATATACACGCACAGAAAAATTGGTATTATTGTATCGGTTCTTTTATAAACGCACAGAAAAACATACACACACATAGGAAAATTGGCGCGTGTAGGAATAGAAAAGGCAGTGAAAAACCTAAATCCTCCATACGCGGCTGGCACCCCACCCCATCGCAGCAGTACGTGCCGCCCACGCTCACACGAGATAGATCCACCGCTCCCACCTCATCCCGTCGCTCCCAGCTCCAGGTCCGGCGCCCGCCGCCCGCCACCACTCAGCCCACCCGGCCGCCGCCGCTCCTCGGGTATCCCGGCACGCCAGCCGCCACTGCCCAAGTCCGCCGTCGCCCCCGCCCGACGCGCCGCCTGCCCCAGATCTGCCGTCGCCCAGCCCCTCCAGCGCATGGCACCCCGAGCGCGGCCTGTCCTGGCGAGCGGCCCCTCCCGGCGCGTCGCGCCCTTCGCCACCGCTTGCTCCAGATCTGGTGCCGGCGTCGCCTCTCCTGCGCACGGTGTCTCGGGCGCGGCCAGTGCCAGCAAGCGGGCCCACTTTTGAAGCCGGCAACGGCGGATCTGGAGGAGCCCGCCACCACGCCCCCTTCCATGTCCGGCACTACCCATTCACCGGCCCTCCACCTCCTCTGGGCCAACCGGACTGGAAGAAGGGGAGGAGAGCCGCGAGGGAAGACCACCTGCACCACCGCCGTTGCTGCCGGTGAGCTACGTCTCTGACTGCTTCCTCCTTAGGTCGTGGCTTAGGACTTTCTCCTCGTCGAGATCTCTTGTGATTTGCCTTGTTTGTCGTATCATCAGATAGATTTACATGGACCATTGACTACTTTCAGTTCCCATTCCCTGAAACATGTTTTTGCATTCAGTGAAGTGAGGGTTGAAGGTTTGGAGACCTTGGACTATCTTGACAACTTGCAATCCAAGAATTGTTGTACTGAACAAGGAGATGCAGTTGTATTTGAGTCTGAAGTAAGCTTGTGTTCTGCTAAATTTCATGGTTTGACGCCATTTCTGTACCAATGAAACTCTAATTACATTTATATGTTGTTTTTTAGTACGGTGGACAAGGTATATTTGAGTGCTCCGCCAAAGATTGTGATCATTGACCACTAGAAGAAAAGAACATTTGTTTTGAGGAAAGAGGGACTTCCTGATGTTGGTGAGTTAGGAGTTATTAGGACCTTTTTTTATTCTTCAATTACAATGTTGATTTGTGAAATTCTGGGTTTTAAACTATTATGGATGTTGGCCTTTTCGTTTTGCAGTTGTTTGGAACCCTTGGGACAAGAAGGCCAAAGCAATGCCAGATTTCGGGGATGAGGAGTACAAGAGCATGCTATGCGTGGGGGCTGCAGCTATTGAGAAGCCAATTACTTTAAAGCCAGGTGAAGAGTGGATAGGAAAGCAGGAAATTTCTGCTGTACCATCCGGTTACAGCAGCGGACAATTGGATCCTGAACTGATTCGTCGAATGCACACAATATAAAGTTTACCAACGATTGCCTCCTATGTGAGTATTCTGCACTTACTTTATTTGAGTGTTAGCAAATAAATCGTGCCTCCTTTCTTACAGTATTCTGTTAGCCACCTGTTTACTTGTAAAACCATCTCTAGCATAGCTGGTAAAAAAATAATCAATGAGTAGGCACTAGTTAATAAAACCAATATTTAACCTCAAATAGGTTATCGCTGTCACTGTTAAAATGGTCCGACAGTTGGATTTACATGTAAAAGATGGCCAAAGTGTGAGGAACACAGGATTGACATAAGATCTCCGTACGTGTGGTTATAGACAAGAGAGATTTGTCTTGAGAGGACACAGAATGGAGAGCTATGTTTTGAGGACAGCAAATACAAAAAAGTAATTGCAGTGTGCATATAACACTTTGATCCTTTGAGGACAGCAAATACAAAAAAGTAGTAGTAGCACCTCTGATTTGTTGTATGAAGAAACTGCACTGCCATTTTGATTCATGAAAATCACAAGTAGAACTATCCTAACATAATTCACGATTAGTAGTGCATCAAATATTTCTTGAACATATATGAGCAATGAGATGTCAGTTTGATCCAAATGGGAGCTCTTCATTGTCTTTTATCAGTAACTTGACATCTTTGAAAATCACAAGTAGAACTATACTAACATAATTTACTGTAATGTAAGAAATATACATGGATGGACCACTCAAATAATGTCATTATATTTGAATTTGAGGGAGCAATGTAATAAGAAGATTTTACTGCAAAGTTAAAATATAATTTTAACTTGTTTGTTTTGTTACCCTAACTATGCCTTGTGACTTTTTTTGTTTTGTACTACTCTTGAGTGGCTGTGATGAATCAAGTTTCCATTAGAGAACTTCTGCACTTTAGCACCTTATGAGCTGGTACTTAGGATATTTTGTTCTGTTTGCTGCTTAACTAGGATGGCTTGTACCAGTACAAGCAACCAGTTCTGTGGCCAATTCAATTCCCATTAGAGAGAGAGAATTAAATTAAGCTCCAGGTGAAATTAAGTTGCAGTTGTCATGCTGATAATGGGTAAATCTGAGCCATTTCTCGAGTTCTTTTGCTCTTGTTCTTTTGCTCCAGGTGAAATACATGTAGTTCTTGTGCTTTTGACATACTGCTCTCTAATGGATCTGAAATGACCAATAGTTTCTTTTCTATTAGCTCACTTCAATAGAGCTCTGTGATTTTTGCATTGCTATTTGTAGAAGAACATGACTTTTTTTAATTCAATATCTCTACTATAATTGAAAACTTGAGACTCATCACGGAGGCTTCAACGCTCAAATCAGGCTTCAACACGCGCGGCACCGCAAGGCTTCAACGCGCGTCTACTGTGGAACCACCCACGATTGAACCCTCCTGTCACCGAAAAAAATGAAGAAAAAAAATCGTCGAGGGGCGCCACGACGCCGCTTAACTAACCAGGCCGCTATATCGCCGCCGAGGAACCTCTTTGGGCACTCACGGCTCTCGCCGCCGTCTCCCTCCTCGCTCCTCCTCCCCCACATCCCCGCCTCCTCCTCCTCCTCTCCGCCTCTCCTCCACGGACACCTCGCCACAAGCCACGTCCTCAAGCTCGATCCTGCCCCGGCCTCTTCTTCGCCGTGACCTCCCGCCCCCATCGACAAAGAGCTGGCGGCAGCGGCGGGGGCTCCCCGCACACACCGCATTCGCGTCCGCGTCCTCGTCCTCCCGGGCCTCGCCATGGGGTCCTTGTCCTTCCGCCGCGTCCTCTCGTCGCTCTCCTCCCGCGGCGTCCACGCCACACGCTCGGCCTCCCTCCCAGCCAGGCCTCTCCCGGCGCACCCCGCCGCGCCAGCCCCGCCCTCCCGGACCAGCGTGCTCGGGTGATCATGGACCGCGGCATCTTCCACACCTTCGAGCACCTCGTGCGGCACCGGCGAGTCCCGTACCAGAGGAGGCGCCGCCCGAGGTCTCCGCCGCGCGCCCGGCGAGGCGGCGCGGCCGTCCGCGTGCGCCGCTGGAGGCGCTGGCCTCGGCGTGGCACCCGTCCACCTCGTGCTCCACGACACCGCGCTTCGCGGCGGGGCCGCGTTCAGCGTCAGCGCGCACCGGGGCCGTCGCGGAGCGTGACGCTGGTTGACGCCGCCCGGCGTCCTGCCGGCGCTCCTGGTCGCGGGTCTTCGACGTGCCCGTCTTGGGAGGGCTTGTGCTGCGGGTGCCGGCGCTGCTTCCGCTGCCTGCTGCGGCTATCTGCTGCGCCCGGGGGTTAGCGCCGAGGAGGCAGAGGCGCACTGGCAGCGATGTGGGGGAGGGGAAGGTTGAGGGTGGTTGAGTCATGGAAGGCGATGAACCACAGCTTTCGGCTTGGGGGAGTGGAGGGTTCTTCGGAGGAGGTGAGGAGGCTACCGATGCTGGTGCTGTGGTCGGGTTCTTGGTCAGACATGTGGATCGATGAGGGAAGAAAGTGGCGGCTGCATTGCCCGGCGCCAAATTTGTCTACCATTCCGGAGGCCGATGGCCTCAGGTCTGTGTGGTGATTTAAATTTACTTGATAATTTCGTCTTATTCCTTATGGAGAGAGTGAGCTTAGTTGGAATTGAGCTTGAACAAAATGTTATACTGCAAATAAATTTCCTAAATTTTGGAGATGGTCAACATTGGGCATGCCACAACTTTTCCAGCTTGTTATGAATTTGTCAGTGAAATTTCTTTTATTTTATTTGCTTACTCACTACCAAATGTCCCTGTATTTCTGTTTTGCCAGATATGGGAATTTGAATATAGTTGATTTCTTCTTAGTTTTTCATGGTACATAAATTTTATCAAAATCCACATAATACCATCGTTAGCACATTCAGAACTTTCTACTTGTGCCTTGCTTATAGGTAACTTACCACCCACTGGATGTTCTCCGGCTCAGGCTAGCAGTTCAATCTGGACACATCATTTTATCTCAGGTCACTACTGGAAACAGAGACTTTGCCGAGTGTAAATTTCTTTGCCGAGTGTCAAAAATCGGACACTTTCGGCAAAGATCTTCTTTGCCGAAAGTGCTGCACTCGCAAAAAATTACACTCGGCAAAGATTTCTTTGCGGCGAGCGCGGCACTTTCGGCAAACACGAGCACTCGGCAAAGGACTTCTTTGCGGCGCCAAACTCTCGGCAAAATCTATACACTCGGCATAGGCTGCCCGTGAAGCGGCGCCGTGCCACGTCCTTCTTTGCCGGCGCTGCGGTTAGGCACTTTCGGCAAAGATTTTTTTTTAATTTCTTTGCGAGTGCCCCAGATCGGCGCTCGGCAAGATTTTTTTATTTTTAAAATTCTTTGCGAAGCGTCTCGGATCTGGCGCTTCGGCAAAAAAAAAATTTTTATTTTAAAATACTTTGCCGGAGTGCTCCTGGCGGCACTTTCGGCAAAGATTTAAAATTTTTTTTAATTATTTCTTTGCTGTGCTCACACGTTTTGCACTTTCGGCAAAGAAAAATTTAAAAAATTAAAACATTCTTTAAGAGTGCACGAGGTGGCATCTCCAAAACACATGTGAGATGTCCTGCTTGTAAGCATCGTAAACGTTTATTTTTGTTTTTCTTCTCAAATTTTTTATGCGCTCCACATAAAGCACCACGAACTCTCTAGTTACAATTTGAAGATTTTTTGTGGCTTTTTGTTATATTTATTAACATTTTGGTTTACTTGAATTTTTAAAATTAGAAATTTGAGCTTGCTGCGTTCTGTCGGAATAATGGAGTTTAATGATTGAAAATTGATAGTCATATTAGTGTGTGTTATGAAACTCCATTATCCGAGAGCAGACCGAAATTTCTATCTTTCAAAACATGTCAAGTAAACGTGTGAAAAGTTTATAAATTCTACAAAATAACAAGCGAAGTCAAAAAATCATGAAACTTGTTGAGATTCCCGTGATATCATATGGTATGTGAGGCTATGATAAAAAAAATGAAAGATTTACGTGCCGAAAAGTCGGTCTGATGCTTACAAGCCAGGACATCTCACATGAAAGTGCCACATGCACTGTCTAAGAAGAATGTTTTAATTTTTTTTAATTTTTTCTTTGCCGAAAAGCAGTCACAGTGAGCACTCGCAAAGAAATAATTAAAAATTTGAATTTTAACCGAAGTGCCGCCCAGTGAGCACTCTGAAGCAAAGTATTTTTAAATAAAATTTTTTCTTTGCCGAGCGCCAGATCCGAGACGCCTCAAAAATTTAAAAAATAAAAAAAAATCTTTGCCGAAAGTGCCGATCTGGGGCACTCAGCAAAGAAATTAAAACAAAAAAAATCTTTGCCGAGTGCCTCCCGATCCCAAGACTCGGCAAAGCCATGACACCGGTTTTTGACCGGCGCCGCAACACATCCCAGCACGCCCATGCCTTAACGCGCCCTACGCCGCGCCGCCACCACATCCGCGCCCGCCCAGCAGCGCCCATACGCTGCCATTCCGCCGCCGCGCGCCGCCCATCCGCGCCCCTACGCATACCCCGCGCCCTAACGCCCCCGCGCCGCCACCGCCATACCCGCGCGCCGCCATGCTGCGTCACCCGCGCCGCGTTACCCCACGTTGCCGCCAGCGCCCGTGCCCGCCACACCCCATTGCCCTCGGCCCGTCACCCTCGTGCCCCGGCCTTGCTGCCGCCTTCAGCCATACCGCCCGGCCTGCCGTTCCCTTTCCCTTCCCTCCCCTTGCCGGCCCCCCGGCCCTGCTGCCCGCCCGACCTTTTTTCCCTTGCCACCCCCTGCCCGCCGCGCCCGTGGACCACCATCCCTGACGCCATCCGTGCTCGACCCCATCCACGACTCCGCCCGATCCGACGCCACCACCTACCGCCCCTACCCGTCGCCTGTCGGTATGCCTTCTCACTTATTATTGTGGAGGTAGTGGTAGTTGTAGTAGTATTAGTTGTACTAGTGGCGTGATTAGTACAACTAGTGGTAGTATTAGTAGTAGAATTAGTGGTAGTAGTAGTAGTAGAAGTAGTGGTAGTAGTAGTAC